AGTAAGGGTACCCTTTTTTTGACGGGAATAAATAGAACTACTCTAGAATAAAGCGATAACAACGAAAAAGCGCAAAAAAAATGCGGAACAAAAAGAATTACAAAGGGACAAAAAAAGAGCTGNAATTGGCAATCACTATGCCTCTTGGATGAAGTCACGCAGTCGCGTTTTCGCCTTGAATTTTCAGAGGCACAATTCACGGTAGNTCATAACAAAAAAACAATAGAAATAACAAACATAAAATAGAAATAATAGCCGAATACTAGCTCCTATACGAGGCGGTCGACCAGCTGATGATTCCTGGCAATTTGCCAATCAGCGTATCGATTTTTCACCAACTTCGCTTCAGTGCGAATGTGGTGAAGGACAACTTGAACACGTAGTCAGCCTAACGAGGGGCGGAGGCCTCCCGTCCCCCACTGTTCCTGGCCTTATTGTGCCCTATCCAGCCGTTTTCCGACCTAATTCCTGCACAAATGTTATCAGAGGGGGCTTAGAATTCTAACCATGTGCATATCTTCGAAACCATTTATTCGTTAACAGTGCCTTTAATAAACATTTTGAATAGAGTTATAAAACATTTCCAGAAGGACCCAACATTTGAGTGCACGCCCCGCCCATTATGGGCGGAGCTCCACCACGTTAATGTATGCCCAGCATGCATAAGGCTTTGCCCTTTCCAATCACTTTTTCCCTCCTCAACGCTTTCGTTGTGTCAGATTAGGATCGATTAGGATCTCATGTGGTGGGTACCGCCCACTGCGAGAACGCCCCACCCACCGCCGGTGAGTCTACTCCAGCTCACTTGCTGACCCATCGATGGACGATCTAGATACAGCAAGGACTGTCGTGAGCATGAGTGTCTGTTCTCATATCCTACCTATATCCTAATATATGTAGATAGTATATGAGAACAGATACTCATGCTCATGACAGTCGACCTTGTTCACTATTACTTGTGCCTAACACTTTCGCAGTTGCTCACTGCCCTTCTTCCAGAACTTTGTCTTTGTCTAATTGAATAATATAGGAAACAAGGTTAGAGTGCAGCAGAATAACGAATCTCTTCACTGATTTTTTTATGTACTTAATCTGGTGGTGTTAGCCGAAGCTAGTGCCGACGTCAAAATAAAACTTTCTGCTGTACTTCACAAGGTACTTCGATGTGATCATTGTTCTAAACACAGCACTATCACCTTGGTGCTCAATGCGCTGGTTTTTGGATTAGTGAGCCTGAATCCTAGAATGTTTTAGTCGCTGATCAGCGTTGCCAACTGCTGCTATCGTAACATCCCGCGATCGCAGTTTGAAAAGAAGCACATGTGCCACTTTCATCAACAGTAGAGCTATTTTTTCTCCATAGAACCCGCTGGCTTCTCTTATAGGGACAGAAAATGTCCTTTCCTATGTTTATTATGTGTTATCCAGCTCTCTTCTTTGGAGGCAATCTTCCTTAGGAATGCGCTCAAGTGAGAACGACGGAGCAAAGACTGATGGGCATTCGATCTGGCTGACTCATATTAAGTTGACATTGCCCGCTGCTTGACAGACATTCATATTGCAAGTACTTTTCTTAAGCTGTGATGGTATTTTTCATTATGTCCGTTCATCTTAGGCTCCGCCCTCTGCAAGAGCAGAAGGCACGGTCGGGGCTTCACTCTGGACAGATCAGTCGGACCTTATACTTAACTATGTCTTGGGTGATGAAGTTTGCTACCTGTTTGCTACCCTCCCACCCCCCCCTCCCCGCTGCAATCCCAGTAAAAACCGGTACTATCCGATTTGTCAAGTGAGAAAGAGGGGTCGATGTCCTTTTCGAGCCCAAAACTAAGCAGAAACAAGCCTTTAAAGAGAGGGTTGACAAAATTCGACTTCAATGAAGAGGTGGTCTCAGCTCTACTGCCTGACAATCCAAAAGAACCGATCTGAGAAAACAACTTCAACAGAACATGAGTGAAAATGAGTTTATAGTACATGAAATTGCAAAGTTTATCGCATATCAGTGTACAAAAAACTAAGATAGCAAGAGATCGTTGTAATACACCGGTCACTTCTAAATTCCTGTAGTTTCCCGTATGAAATTCCAAGGCACTGTCACATACATTCACAGAAAGGAATCCTCGTGCACAGAGAGCGATCTGTCGGCCATCAAATATGTTTCTGTCATATACTCGGCTGAAAAAATTTGGGGTTAACAATCGAAATGCCACACTGAATACGTTATTCTCTAATGTGAATTATGCTTGTCAAAAGCGCCCAAGTATGAGTATAAGCTTATAAGTATAAAGTTTAATTGGCAATCACTATGCCTCTTGGATGAAGTCACGCATTTTCGCCTTGAATTTTCAGAGGCACAATTCACGGTAGCCTTGGGTTGGAAGCGGAAGTGCTGGTGCAGAACAGCGCATCGTTAGTGTAGAATACGTAAAAGTTCGAAGAATTCATAAGTTGTGAGGATTCTCAAAGTTTTGAAAATATGGGTTGGTGCGAAATTACATACCATGGATGTATGAAGGAGTATTTGGACGATATCCTCCAGCTGTGTAAATGGCTGCTTTCAGGCTTTGAGGTACGTACGTCCGTCCGTCCGTCCGTCGCGTGCGTGCTGCGTCGGCGGTTCCAGAAAGGTGTTGACAGCGCTGGCACGTGTACTAGTGTTGTTAACCCTTTCTAGAACCGCCGTCGCGACACGCATGCGACAGCCGTCGCAACAGGCATGCGACGGACGGAAGGACGTCGAACTCTATAAGCAGCCAATTGCGTATAGAGGTGGATACGGTAAGCCAAAAATGCAAAAAGTCGCTTTCCACCGTCGCAGTGGGTCACAGCTAGTTGTTTGAATAATTAACACCTGTGTTCCATTGTGAATGGTGTAACCTCTACAAGGCCAGTAATACACGTGTACTTTAAAGTGTGCACGCTGGCTAAACTCATGTTTGAGCCCTTGCTATCCCACTGGTGCTTGAGCCCTTTTTGCCCTCTCTCAGCCGTTTTTTGATTCGAAGGGCCTCACAATGCTTACCTGAGGGCCAAAGGTTCGTCCTGTATCTGGGGAACCGTTCTTGACGTGACCTTTGCCTTCAAGTGCGCGTTCGGCCTCGGCAACGGTCCAGAGATAGTTGCATTCGGTAATCACTTTACTGTTCGCCCCCTTCCAGGAGTGTTGGTAAAGAACAACCGGAATATGCAAGCTTCGGCCTGGGGGTTCCTACCTACGCTAATAGATCTCACATCCAAACCACCGAAATCCGGCTAGCCTGGAGCAGCACCCAGCTCTGGCATGTTTGGTTGATGCGGGAGCAGCAAACAGCGTCTGGCAAGTCTGGTCGAAGCAGCGCGGTAATGTTTTGCGTTACTACAATGACCATGGACAACCCATGTATACTATTCGTGTTCCCTACAACTCGCACATGTTGGAGCTACCTACGTCGATCAACCAGGGAACCCGCGGAAGTCCTAAAAATAACTTATAGCACGAACTGGATACGTCCTTCATGAATTGCTGGGTCTACACGAATATAAAATCCATCAACCACTCTTATTAATGAGATGGTAGTGCATTAATGATACTTTAGTGGCCACAGTATCTTCAAGGACATTAGCACTACGAATAAAAATTAAAGATATTCTTGCAAAGCACTCTTCGTTTACTTGACAAGCGTTTCACTTTACTGGGAAGAAGAACTTGAAGTGCATTTTTAAGAGTGACCAAGAGGGTACTGTAAGGGGGTAAAGGCAAACATTTTTTATATTTGTTATCATTAAAAAGTGTTCAAGAATAGTAGCCAGAACGGTATGCAGAGGGCAGTGGCCTAAAGGGACAGGACAAGAGCGATGGGATAGGTTGGTAGTGGGGCAAGCCAAGCGTAGGGACTGATTGGAAAACCCTCAGTGTTACAGTAGCGGAAATGTAGAGAGTGAATATACTTTGTTGGCAGAATTACACAACCAGTTAGAGTGCTTTTCGATTCTTCAAAAGCTTTTTTTCTTTTTGAGGTCAGTTACACTCTTGATCCTCCCCTTGTTGCAGGAAATGGGCAAGAGTTAGAGGTTCCAGCACAAGCAGGATTATTTGCCACAGGGTGATACTTATTTGAGACTTATTTTTTGGCACTTAAAGTAAGTAGCACTCTAAATGAATAAGTCAATTCGCCGAGCGACTGTCAGTTGTGTTGCGAACGTAGCGTGCCATAAGATAAAATAAGTGAAGCAGCCCCCTGGCAATTTCATGGAACATCTTATCGGTTTGCTTGCTGATTTGAAGTAGACTTCCTCCACAGTCTTCAGAGTTCCCACAGCTGAACCCCTACGAAAGTCTTCTACAATATGTCAATCAAACGTTCTTGAATAGAAACTCACACTCACTTCCTTTGCGTCCATTGAGGAATGTCCTCGGATTGTATGGCTCGGTCTGATAGCCTGATTTTGTGCTCGTCAAGCAGCAGCAAGGTAGAAAGCGCGATGAAAGTTCACGAAGGCGACTGAAATGGGATAGTAGACTAGTCATCAAAGTATGCTGGATGAAAAAAAACATTTGCCTTTTCTAGACTGTGCGACTTATATTTCGTGATGTTTTTGGGCAAATGCACAAGATACAGGTATAAGCACTGCTACTGTACTTGCGCCTAACTGGCAGAGCGCTATAGCCCAAAAAAGAAGTACAATAAGGTTGGTTGCCATATGGAACGAGGACCACTACTTTCAAAAGCGTTTATATTCTGTGAAACAACTACAGTGCATTTTTCTGCATCAGGGGCTAACGATTAGCACTCAAGTGCTCTCTTTGCTATTTCGCATTAAAAGGCCAAACGGCTAACAGGATTGGTCCACTAGGTCGTTGTCCAAGACTTCCTTACGAGCAAGTAGCTCCTTAGCAACCATGGGTAGAAAAAGTTCAAGGAAAGCTTAATTCGGAAAAATCGAGCTCTCCGGAGTTGGTCTTATTTTTTGTGATTAATATGTGGCATTTTGTATCTGATGAATAAGTGCTGAGGTGAAACTCACTTGCAAACCATTTGACGGAATTTCTGTGATAGGGTTATATAAACGAAGAAGGAGAGACTCATATTGCAGAGCCCAAGAAATACTCCAACAGTATTCCACACGCATACAGGGATCTCATTGATAACTCGTGGACCGCTGATAGCCGCCAGGATGAACACGGGTATAGGAGGCAACTCAGCCAGCAGCTAAAGGAAAAAGTATGATAAAGTGAGATTCAAATTTTCTATAATAGATGATACTTGCTTCCAAAATACACTATATGGCTCTTCAAAAAAAGAGAATTTTGGAGTCGTTGTCATTGAGGAGCAATACTCACCTGCAGGCTTGTCGTGATAAGGGTTATCCTCGTCACGCACCGCTTTTCGGACCTAAAATTTGAACATTTACAAGTAGCAATTCATTATGCAGTACATCTAAAACAGCCAGTTCTGTCAGCATGCCAAACAGTGCCTAAAAATTAAAAGCAGAAAGTTTGACAAAGACAGTGACCAGGGTAATTGCTTGATTCAGCTGTCGTTAGGTCCATCCCGAAATCCCCTTTTTTCCTTCTAGTTTCCAGAAAGCATCTATGCTGACCAGGTTGCATTGCTTTCCTTAACATCTACCCCGCTCCTCATGGNTTCTATAATAGGTGATAGTTGCTTCCAAAATACACTATATGGCTCTTCAAAAAAAGGGAATTTTGGAGTCGTTGTCATTGAGGAGCAATACTCACCTGCAGGCTTGTCGTGATAAGGGTTATCCTCGTCACGCACCGCTTCTCGGACCTAAAATTTGCTCATTCCAAGTAGCAATTCGTTAAGCAGTACATCTCAAACTGTCAGTTCTGTCAGTGTGAGAAAGGATCCACAAATTAAAGGCAGAAAGTCTGCCAGAAGCAGTAACCAAGGTAATTGCTTAATTCAACTGTCACTAGGTCAAACTCGAAATCCCCTTTGCTCTATCTGTGTAGTTTCCACAGAGGATCTATGCTGAACAGGTAGCACTAATCCCCTTACATCTACTCCACTCCCCATGAGTAATCCCCTTGCCCCACTTGAGAAATTGGCTTTTACTTCATAGGTGGAGGAGGAACTCACGTGAAGTGTGAAGAACGAGGAAATTCAGGCTTTCGCAGTACAAGTTTCCACACTACCGACACTGTCATGAACACAAGGAGAGACATGGGAATAACGATAGCGAAGAGAAGATTCCCGATCGTGTGAAGTCGTTCAATCATCGTCATCAATGGAGCTAAAAAACTTCTATGAGATTTCCTTTTTTTTTTCTTTGCAAAAATTAAGAAAACAAGTGTCATCAATATTATCGTCTCAATTGACCTAAAATGCCATCGGTAGGGAGTTCGCTGGAGATGAATTACAGCCTAAGGGAGAGCTGGCAAGTTTGATATCCTTCATGTGATTAACTCAGGTACTAATATGGAGGATGAAGGATTAAGTCCTTGGTAACTATCAGCCCCTTCTTCGGGATGATTCCTCACAGCCGACTGCTACTGAGAATTGTAGTGAGCCTTTCGAATCTGTATGTTAGGGCGACAATGAGTTGCGGTGCCCAGTAAAAGTACCACTCAGCGCTTTTATTCTTTCCAGAATGGTGTGATAGTAAACGACCCCTCCCGGTGGGATGGAAATCTTGCTTAACATGGACGAGTATTAATCTGGGGCTGGAACCACCTGTGCGTGCAGGAGTGCGCAGCTTGCCCCTACACCAACCATGCTCTCGGTATTATCAACTGAGCCTCTTAATCTAACTTCCAGTTTATTGTGAGGCGGGAATGTTTTACCGAGACGTTGCCGAAGAAATCTCGCTGGCACTCACTTTTCTTGCTTGCGTTATTGTCCATTCTCACATCATAATTATGTGCATGACTATCAAAATTGCTATTCGAAAGGAGGATGGGGGTAAATAGAGGTTGTTGATATAGTCATGCACGTGATTATGATGTGAGAATGGGAGAAAACCCTACTCACGGAACAAATTAATGTAAATTTCACCTAACACCGAAAAAAGGAGAGTGTAGCACTCAATAATCACCATTATAGTAGGNACCTATAGAAAGGGCACCGAGTCTCCAAAGCAATTACATTTAGGCAGATTCATACTCCTCTAGTCCGTCTGAGAGACAGTTGCAGAAAAACTTTCCCTAGGTTTCCGATGACAGCATGTTTCAGGAAGAGCTCAGTGAATTGCAACATCGCGAGGGCAACATCATGATTCGGGCTCTTAGAAATTCGGAGACAAAGTCCGCAGCTGAATTCAAAGGGGTAAGCTAAGTGAAAGGAAATAATGTTGAGCTCGTTTCAGCTTGTGATGCTACTTTCCCGGCGGCAGAATCGCCAAAGAAGACAAAGAACGGGTCCAGCTAATTCCCATAGGAGAAAGGTGGCCAATCCGATCCGCTCCCAGCGTACAGCGGGTCTTAGCCGGAAGTTTCAGCAAATTTTCTTCTTCCGGTATACATATATAAGTTTATATTTATTCTGAAATATTGTAAAGCCTACATCATTTCACCAATTTTTTTCGTTAAATTCACTATGCATCGTGAGGTATTATCAACTCTGAGCAGGGTAAATTTAAACCAAAGCATAGGAAACTTCCAAGAAACTTACAATCGCTGGCTACGATCTGAACGATAACNCGGTATACATATATAAGTTTATATTTATTCTGAAATATTGTGAAGCCTACATCATTTCACCAATTTTTTTCGTTGAATTCACTATGCATTGTGAGGTATTATCAACTTTGAGCAGGGTAAATTTAAACCAAAGCATAGGAAACTTCCAAGAAACTTACAATCGCTGGCTACGATCTGAACGATAACACGATCACATGAGTCAACCGTAAGAGAAACAGAACGATTCAATGGATAAATGAGAGCCAGCAAAAGACCGGATACCGCTATCACCACGTAACTTCTAAAACAATCCATTACAGATTTTGTAACATAAGCCATGCACATCACCTGTTTTTTCATCAAAACAGGTGTTTTCGTCCCCATCACTACTCTACCTCCAACTAACTTCCCAGCCGTCAACTTCCTGACAGTTTCCTAGCACCTTACATTACATTGCACCAAAATCCCTCTATTTCTACTACATTGAAGCTCCATCTCTCAGTCACACTTATGGTCACACGAATGCATTTTAGAGCAATCGCGCTATCTTTTCCATGTCCTTGTACTATGCGTTCCTTGATAACTTTTAAAAATCGAGAATCGAGTAAAACACTCACTTTGAAAGATTCTTTTTTGTGCATAGGGATTTCGAATGTACAGGAAAAAAGACGTGAAGATAACATTCGCCAGTCATTAGCACCGTCAGCCTGAAAAAGTGATAACAACGTTAATAAACGAACGGACATATCAATATTAGTTATTCAGCAACAGTTAGATGCATTAGTTTCTCAAGAAATTGGTTATAACCTTCAAAACATGCGGTAACGATCAAGCCTCAACATATCGAGAATGATCGGACCTCATCCAACCTCATAAAGCTTTAAGAGCTGATAAAAGTCTCTCAGTCATTGCATTCATGGCAAAATTATCTATTTTTTCACTCCTCATTTTCTGTGTTGAGAGAATGAAGAAGTGAACACCCTGCATCACCCTGAACTACTCGTTTTTTTACATTTTCCTGCCATAGCACCGGTGATGTAAGGAGTGCTTCAAAATGGGGGGATAATGGGCAACAGAAAATTAGCTGTGAATTATAAACAATCATTCTTGTTGAGCACAAATTTATTTAATAATAAATAATATTAATACAAATTCACAATTCAAATCTGTATCAGGAGCAGGCCGGTGCAGGAGGGTCATAACAACACTATCTGCTCGATGATCCCCATGCCTTTCTGCTCGGTTAACCCCATGTCTTGTACTCTACCCATGCCTTCTACACTTCTTGGCAGGTCGAGATTGAAAGATCCAGTCAACCAGTCTCTAAATGTACAAAGGTTTGAACCTCATGTCCCCCATATCCACTGCTGCTACCTCTGTAACCAAATTCTTCTTCAATTCGATGTCTCGTTTCGATCCGGCGCAACATTTTAGAAGAGTTTCGTCAATGTTTCTTTCGTGCAATTCAATTTTGAATATTGAAATTCTCACTGTGGTTATAGCATCGATGAAAAAAGCCGGCGAAAGCGCTCTCATGCATAGATTTCAAGCAATTCGTTTGACAAGCCTTGAATGGCAAAATAGGTGTGCAGCTGCTTAACACAGTGGTCCAACAGTAAGACCTCTCTATGCACTAGAACCATCACCGGACCTTCAAACTCATACTATTACCAAAAAGGATACCTCGGCTTGATGTGAACAGCCGTAGACGATCAGCTTGACAGCCCCTCTTTGAGTGACTGAGGAACTGCTTGTTAATATATATTTTGAGGGAAGGGACATGAAGACGTGCAGTTCCAAAAACGCTCAGTTAGGTGACTATAAGGTCAAATCCTCGGACTGCTCCATGCATAGATTTCAAGCAATTCGTTTGACAAGCCTTGAATGGCAAAATAGGTGTGCAGCTGCTTAACACAGTGGTCCAACAGTAAGACCTCTCTATACATTAGAATCATCACCGGACCTCCCAAACAATTACTATTACCAAAAAGGCTACATCGGCTAGATGTGAACAGCCGTAGACGATCAGCTTGACACCCCCTCTCTGAGCGACTGAGGAAGTGCTTGTTAATATATATTTTGGGGGGAGGGGCATGAAGACGTGCAGTTTCAAAAACGCTCAGTTAGGTGGTTATAGGGTTGAATACCTCGAACTGCTCACTGACACCTTGTTGAAGGAGACAGTGATGCAGAAGATACTTTGGTAAATGCCCCCTCCCCCTAGCAACACTAATGCTCGATGTGGGAATCGCTTTGAGGATGTGAAAAGATTTTTTCCTGGGATGAGAAACTATTGAAACGGCATCACCTACTTTTCAGCGATAGCTGGTTTGTTGCTTAAGGTACTCATGAAATGTTATTCTCAATAAGCTCATGGTAACAAAAATGGAGGGGGGGGGGGCACTTTTGGTGGGAGGACAAGTAGTAAGCCCTTCTAGTCAACGGTCCATTGATCTATCTACCAATGTGGATTCTTACATAGACGATCAGCAGAAAACGTAGCTATTAAGTCCTGCGCTACAAAGAGGAAAGCTGCTGCACACTGTTATACCGTCTCTCGCCGGTATCACCCTTCCTAGTCTTGTGACATCTCTCTCAATGACTCGGAGTTTGTAGCATACTCCAGCTCCCCAGGATGTCATTCATACATCGCCCCAAGACGTCATCAGTCGTGTGCTGGTATGACTCTTGGGTCGAGCGAATACGACGATCGGCAACAACCCCTCTGTGCTTTTGGATCCCTTAAAGTTCTATAGACATGAGTTCCGCACGCACTCCGCGCTGTGACTTTTCCCTCCATTACTTCTCCATTACTTTTCTACCCTGGCACAAAAAAAAAAAACTTGTCGACTGGATAATTAATGAGCATCGAAAGCTGAGTCCAATGCGTCAGCGATGCAAGCAAAACTGTGTGCCTACGAGAGTCGCCAGAAGCAACCTGAACGTAATTTTCATGAAAGGAAGACTGAAGAAAAAGAAAGGATAGAAGAATCACCAATTTTTTAGTGAATCTACTATAAACTATTGGAAAACGACCACCCAGCTATCGCAGCAATTAGGGCCTTGAATAGCATCACTTCTCGTCTATGTAATGTTTCAGAAGAACTTAATACCGCAATCGATCCTTTCTCCACAGGAATCTTCGCCATCGTTGATCAAAGATGGCAGAGAACTCAGGTCCATGCTTGCCCTGCAGGCCCCGCCGTTCTTTGCGGACCTACACCCTACAACTGTAAATAGGTGAATGCAGTTTTGTGTGGCAGGGCTTTCTCGTCAGCACAGCTTTTGCAGACTTCCTACTTCTGTTACTCTGTAGTCTCCTTAGAAAGCTGGTCAAGTGAGAATCAAGAAATAAGGTTGGCAGTTGTGCCCTTTTCTCAAAGCCTAGAGTTCTTTAATGTTGCATCTGACAGCCCTCACATTCTTACTTAAACGACGAAAATGGAATTTTGAGTGTCAAGTTGAAGCATTGAAAAAGGGTAGAAGTCCTACTCGTTCACTTCTGAGCTGAGGGCTTATTTGATTTCCTGCGCTTTTTCGACACTTTTGCCTGACACGTTTGCATTATAGGCCCTACGGCTAATTTTAATGAAACGCATTTAGATTACAAAGGTGGCACTTAGTAAAGGGTAAAGTAAAAGTCTTTGGGCACTAATCAATCCTATCAGAGGGATGAACCCACACATTCGACTTCCATTGGGAATCGTAGTGGCGTATTAAATGCATATGTGGCCTATACAATGACTTGCGGTGGCCAGCCGATGTACAAATCAGTGCTTTTATCCTCTCATAAGAGTCTGGAACCAATTAATTGAGCCCGGAGGCATGGAAGGCTTTGTTGGCCGAGGCAGAATCGATACGGGATCCGAACCTCTGATCATGCATGTGATAGTGGGCCATTGATACTACACCACTTCTGCCTGTCTGGCACTAAATAACCAAGCCTTAAGCCTGTAAATGACTAAGGAGGCAAAGAGCTATAACAGGGCTATAACTCTTCTTTTGGGAAAGACTTCCCAGGTCCGACCTGAGACCAAGTCGCCTTTGAAATTTGAACTCATTACTCCTGCAAAGAGTTATATAGCACAACAGAACTCTGCTTCAATCACGGCCAGCTTCCTGCGAAAGATCACATCATGTAAACAGTAACTTACAGGCACGGTCTACTATAAAAAATAGTTTCATAGTTTTTATCCAAGATAGACCAACGGCTCCCAAAGACCGTACATAGGGCATTGTCGGGAAGAAAAACGGCTTAGACAGGGCCTAATGAGGGCTCCAAAACCGGTTTGGCCGACGTGAACACCAAAAAATGGCCGTGTTTTAACGGGCTTTGTTGAGGCTTCACCATTCGCAGTAAGATGCCGGCGAATAGTGCGCTCATTAAGGAGATACACAGACAGTTACAGAGGGCGACGTATTTGTACGGAAACTGCAGGCATACGACTCTTTTTCATTTTTCGAAGGACCATTTTTTATGCTGTGAACTTAGCCGTCAGTATCGTGAACACGCTCAGTGAGAGATTTTTGGCCTCTGTAGTTTTTGCGCTAGATAACATATCCCCCTTCTTTGCTACTCTTGCCGTCATCGTCTCGTAGAACTCCCTTTTTACGAATTTTTTCTGATGCGCCGTGAATTGACTTAGTCTCCGAGATTGATGAGAATCTTGATAAGGGTTTTATAATGCGTTATACTTCACAACACTCGCCGATTTCTGCCCTTTCCTCATCACATTTGAACTATTATGCACCGCAACTTCCATTGTTTAACTTGAACTGGTACTTCAGAATTGTAGTGAGCTATGCCTTCAACCGGGACTATGTTTTGCTTTAGCATTTGAACGATGCTCCCTTCTTTCGTGATGCCACCAGTTTACAAAATTACTTTGATATTTAGTTGATTTATATGAACTTTCTTTTGAACCCATAATCAACGAACTGCTGCCTTCCATCGATGAGCTCTCGATAGTTCCCTTTCAAAAAGTTTTTTCGTTCCTATACCGAATAACGTTTCACCATCATTCATTCCACCAAAGAAATTTCAACTCGAAGTAATTGTTTTTGCGAAAAGATATCTAAGTGAAGGTAATCGAATGAGGTAATAACTGTAGAATAAATGGGATGAGCATGACTCTCACAAAGAGTCATATAAGTTTTAAGTACCCACTTTCACTGTATGAAGCCGAGCAGAGTTCTTTTGAAAAGTGGATTTTCGCCTGAAACCATGGAAGGGTAGGGGATATGTGGTAATTCTGAGTTTCGGTAATGGTGAATGATAAAGAGCCTCACATGTCACTGAAAATTCAGTGGAATGGTAGGAAGCGTTGAATGTATACAATGAATTGCGTTGGCCAGCCGATATACAAGTCAGTGCTTTCATCCTCCCAGACGAGCCTGGTTCCAATTCGCCGGAAGGATGGAAATCTCGGATGGCCTGGGCGGATAGCGATCCGGGATTCGAGCTAATGACCACGAGTGTGTGAAGGACGTCAATGCCACTACATCACCTCCACCCTATTTTTATAGAAAGCATTTCGCCAATGGGACGATCCCACGAATCAAAACACCTCCACAATGCGGTACTGAGACGAAGCACTTAGTGAACATTACTTCTGGTGATTCGTGCTGATTTATGTTCAGCTTGTGAGCAACCACTCATTTTTCATGTGTTTCGGAACCTTTGAACTAGCTCATTTAGGATTATCACTCGTTTTTGCGCCGCGTACCCCTAATCCGTCAATGACGTGGCCTAACTGTGAAGTTGAACTTCAATGACAAAGTGGTCTGAGGATCCTCTTAAAGGGTAAAGGGCATGGCATTTAAACAGTTCTAAGCAGAAAATGGCCAGGTACGTAACAGATAAGTGAAGGGGAATTCGGTAGCAAAACGCTGGTAATCATGTGGGGTTGCCCTCCTAATGAATATCTCCAGTGAATAATAATTATTATAGAGTACGAATATTAACCTATTCCTGACATCAACCTTACCTAACATTTCTTCTAATAATATATTCATCGAAAATGAATATACAAAGCAACCAAAGCAAAATTTTTGAGTGCTCTCTCTCAGAATGAATGAATTTCGTTCACATACTGTCAGTCCCCGGGATTTGGGATGCAGTGCGACCTTATGGGAACCTATGCGATGAAGGAGCCATCAGTATCACATAGGAAAGATCTTCATTTGAGAATCTGGTCGGCTTTGGGTACCCTTGGGCTTTCGATTCTAAACCCGCTTCATGCCGATGTGGCTCATGGTCGCGTGGCCGTGCAATTCGGTCGGTTCAATTGATGCTCAACGATGGGGATCGAGAAATCGAGAAAAATGACCATCCCTCTTATCGCCTTGCAGCTCTCATTCTCTCACTTCACTTCTGATTAATCTAACAGTTTCTGAGTACTTGCCAATGTTCCAGATAATGATTTCCATAGACTCACCACATGGCACAGAAGCCGAAGACGTTGACAAAGTAGGCCTGATAGGGGTAATAACCCCAATAGACGGCATCCGCAGCAGAGTTGGCCTCCCAGGTGCCAACAGTTCGAAGTGCTTGCGGCAGAAGGAACACCATAGCCAACGTATTCATCAGCTGCAAACATGGAATTCATTTTCATTCGGAGTCTTTCGCGTCTGAGTGTTGCCGCCCAAGCGCTACTTCAGCCTTGACGGATTCAATGGAAATGCTCGGGTATCAATGATTTAATGGTATAATCTGATAATTTCTGAAAAAGAGGATAACTTTGATGATAGTACAACAGTTTGCCAATGGAAAATTGTTCAAGTTGTTTCAGGGAAAACTCATGTCTGAAAGCACTTCCTTTCCGAATCCAGCTTTATAAAATTCGCATTGATTCCGGACGCTGCGCTTTGATCAGTTGAGATAGCGACATTGTCATTCGGGAGATTGATAGCTTGTAAGAAGAGAGGACTAATCAAACCACCCGCATTTACTGGGCTCGGGGGCCTTGTTGCTCGAAAAATGGGACTGAAGAAGATTTGATTACTTCAAACGATTCACTGAATCGACAAGATGACGAGACTTTCACACAATAGCTTCTTCACCAAGCTGGCTGATGATCCTGGATCAATCTTAAAGCAAACATGACTGCTTCCATAGTACTCAGAGATGCTCTCGTTTGGAACTTTTCCTGCCAAGGAGAAATCATGATTCATGTTTACTCATATGGGGCCCAGGAATGGATCAGTGCTGCAAATGGATGGCTGCTCAGTGGCAAGATCCTATGGTGTGTTTCGCTTTCTCCTGCAGTTTTTGGTCCATTTCTTTCTTGCTCGAGTACCACTTGTTTTTTCTTTTCGGATAATGGAAATACAGTAATATCTACCCGTTTCAGCGACAGAATTGAATGCAGAGGAACGGGGACCATGGTGGGTGTTGACTATGATAAGACTAAACTGAAGCCCTTTAATTTTGTTTTCAGCGAAATCGTCGAAAAGGAAGCATGACGTGAAAAAGCTCTAAAGCACGAGCGTCTGCATACAACAAAGCTCATTCCCAATTTGTAGAGGTGGGCCCAGAAAAGTCCCAGGATTGATCTCGGGTTTTTTTCAAAAGATGAAAATGGATGAAAAAAGGGCCGAGTAGGCAAAACTCACCAGTCGGGTGCAAAGCATACGGATTGCGATATAATAGCGAATTTGATTTGAGTTGTAGATGAGCAGATTGATACAATTGCCAAACATCGCCAACAGGAAGACCACCAAAAAGCCATAGCCCATGAGCATGATGTGGAATGGCCGTTGATCACAACGTAACTGAAAGTTGGGTTTCAGGAAGGACGGAACTGGGCGAATAATGAAAGCTCTGGTCATTCTCAACCGCTAACTCAAATCTTTACCTCTTGTTGATTGCAGGCTTTGTTGTAGACGGACTCGATCATCCGCATAATATCCCTTGTTAAGTCTTCTGAGGAATTAGCTGCTAACACCATGTCCTGCAAGGGGAAACTTGAAAGGGAGGTGGAAACTTGAAAGGGAGGTGGTTCTGTGGAAGGTCATAACGGCGAATGAGCACGAGAGGACAGTTGGGCATAATGAACAGGGTCACGTTTATAATGACAAGAAAACAGGCGGAACAGTCAATAAGAATACGAAAAGGACAACGAATTGCTACCGAAAAATTCTCATTAAGCTGAGTGGCACCAACGAGGATCTGAGTAAGCACGAGATGAAAGCTAGAGTGACAGTGAATAGCCGTAGCTCTGTTGACACTATTGAACGCACTATTAGAGTTTATTAGAGTTCCTGAAATAGACTTTCTATAATGATATTCACTGTCGAAGGCAATTTTGCCAGTTTCATATTAAAACTCTAGCGAAATGGGCGAGGAGAGAGCCCACGAGAAGTCATTCCTCTCAGGTTCCAATGCGCACAGAGAAGTTCGGAAGAATATCCACCAATGTTCGGCCGATTGAGGCAGAAACGTTCTAGTTGGACTAACTGGAGTACACTAACTGGTAAGGGTGACTCAAATGATTCCACCGAATGAAGGTGGTTCAGTGGAATGTTCAGATGCAACAGAGAGAAGGAGGGAGAGATCAAGTACAGCTGAGCTTGGTTGGCATTTGTCCGGGGACTCCACGACCAGGTGAAGGGTTATCGTACATTTGGAGGTGCATTCGAAGCCCCGCCCCCATGGACAGCGAGAGAATTATCGCAAGCGATGAAAAATGAAAGAAACGAATCGTTTCTAGCAGACAACTTCAATATTGATATTTAAAGGACCCCTTTTTGACTGCAGAACATTGCGGAACAGATTGAACCCCATCCCATGCTAATCTGCCGAGTTAATCTGCAGCTAAGTTCAGATCTACTCGTCTGAAGACGTCTACATCTTCCCACTGGTATTCTTCCATTCGAGTAGAACTTACATAAGGAATAGCTTCAAGCGACCCCAATTGAAAAATCTTCTCTACTACCCAGACGGACTCGAAGTTTATAAGCAATTCGTGGAAAAACATCTTGGTTGTACATAGTGCATTCTATTTCGGGGACATTCGGAAGTTGGGAGAGTTCAAGACGCCTGCAATTTCTTACAAGCTCTTCTTAGTGGCAGTTCCCTTCAGATTGTCAAGTACACTGGCTTTTAAGAGTGCATCCGGGGACAGCCTTAATAAATTCACCATTTACATGACAATTATTCTACTGTCTATTTTCTAGGAAAGATTTTGCAGGAAAAGAAGCGAGGTAGTCTCAGAGATTTCGTCGAAGGCTCACCCGCAAATGGATATCCAAATCTACAGTTGCGTTTCATTCGGGAATGGCCTTTGACGTATCTCACTTCACTGAGAATGAGCCAACAAACTTTTCAGTGCCTACTTATTTATTGTTATGGGGGGATATAAAAGACGCCTCCTCCAATGATGATGCTGCTCGAACTTTCTCAAAAACACAGCAGCTGGAAATAACGAACTCGCCGAGGTGGATTATCTGCCTAAATGACCTCCCCCATTATAGTACAGTTTTGTTAAGAAAAGTTAGCAAAACCCGATTGTAGCCTTTAAACTTATGTCCTCAGCTACTATACCTAGAGGGTAAGCCATCTACGGTGAATGCACAACCAGAGAATCTCATGGCAGCAGTCGGTGGCTGCTTCTGGAAAGGGTCTTAGAACTTCAAAAACAACAGTCAAACAAAGAACTAAACAAGCCAGTGGGACAGCAGCAGTCAAGAGTCTTTGCCCACACCCTCACCCCACTCTGAATTGCCCTGAAACGGCCATAACTCTCCAATTCCTAAGAGTAATCGTGATCTTTTTTCTGGCGTCAATTGTTCCACGTCCACTGTCTTTCCCACTTACTGCCAGCCCTAAAATTTCTCGTAAACGTCAAACCTCGAACCACAGACTTACCTTGTCGTTTGGTTTTATTTGCGTCCATGATCGAACAATGGTATTTTGAGTTCATGCTGGCTCCAGTTACTTACATTTGAGTGCTATTTCATGTAGTCATGCAACACATCCGAAATCTTGTTGATAACTATCGGGCTTTTCAGATAATTGAGCAGCGAATTCGGTTTACTCGGCAAGCGATATACCATGGATGCCGACGACAACAGCATAATTATGCATAGGTTCAGTTAAAGTAATGCACGTCTCGTTAGCGATTTCTAATGGAAGATGCCCAACAGGCGAGCGAGGCTGAAATTATTTGCTAAAACGCTTCTTGGAAGGAATTCTTGAAGGAATCCTATGGTGTGGAGTTCTGGGGTTGTCAGCTTGTATGGAAAAGATGACAAAAGTTCCCATACTCCAGAAAATCGCCTTGTGTGCCTAACGATTTCCTGCTATCGTTCCAAGCCAATTTACAGATGTCCCGTTTCCAGCAGTTTTCTGATTTGCTGCAGGAATTGTACTGAAATATTAGGCAGGGTGGTATGCTATACCCTATTGTAGCACCTCCCGGGAGATTCATCGATACGGTGACTCCTAGTTCTCAGTATACTTTAGTCTTTTACCACATTACTTGATGTAATCTTCACTGAAAAGGTTGGGACAGTGTTAAGCTCATTCGAGAAACGGATCAGAACCTTGGCTAAAGGGTATGGCATTTCATTCCCGCTCAGTTGTCACTCCAGGAAAGTTCACGACATGGTCGACATGGGAAATGCCTTCAATTTGTTATGTGGTAGCATTAACTGCTTGCATTCTCCTAATTTATAATAGCCACAAATTATAAAACAGAAAAGGGTGATTACATAAACGCGACTTGCTATTAGCAATTAATCCAAATTGGTCCATTTTCCCTAAAGTGGTATGGGGCTGTGAATTTTGTTGAAATGTCAGGCCGTTAACAAATAATTTACTGAACAACGTCGTTAAGGTCGTCATTCATCCGCCGCCTCGTATTTCCCTAGAAAGGTACTGAATGCAGGTTTCACATCAGCAAACGATTTATGTGGCACTAAGTCGTGACATTCAGGAATAGTCAGAAACAGCTTATGTTCGAGTCAGTTACTGTGGGCACAGTAGCACATCAGACTCTAGAGGGAACTCAACTCAAGCGGAAGGAGGTGGAGGGAGGGGGAAGGGAGAGGGGTGGGGGGGGGGGGGTGGGGGGGGGGGGGGGGGGGGGGGGAGTTGAGGATATGTCCTTTGAAGAATTGGAAAGTCATTTGCAGTCTCAAGTGGTAAGCCCTCCATGCGATGGTATTCGATACTGTCGCTGATTCAAGAAATGATTTCTTGAATGTTTTGGCTTTTTATGGCGATTATGTGAATATCATATTCACGGCCCCATACAGGAAATGAAACTTTTTCCTAGGCTTAACCTTATTAGCGCATTATGGGCTTAATGTGCCCATAATAATACTTTATATCTGCACAGAGGAAATGGTAACCCAGTTATGGCTGAATGACATCGCCCGGAACATGAACACCTACTAGACTAATGGTAAGCTCAGAATTATTCTGAATGATTACTCGACGGCTACTCACTTCGCCGGTCATGGGTCTTGGTGCCCCATACCACAGCGCACTTGGGAAGAGAACTACCGTAATCGTGGATTATTCTAGGGATTAAACATGGGAATACTGCTTAATAAACTGAAATTCCTAGACAAGGCCTATGAAAGATTCATCCCTTTCATAAAGTAAAAAGTGCACTGCACTGGTATGCTGCGTTCTGATGATTTGAGAGTTCGGAAGTGCTGGCGTGTTGCGAAACAGTGGACCTTGTTCCCTATTTCAGACAGGGCTTGTCTTTCAAGTGGTTCCCCGATTCTTCTGTTAGGTTGAACTCTTCACGAGCTTTGTAAGCGAGCTTTGTTAGGCTGACCTTCCGGCAGAAACGCCTTCTTCGGAGACTGGACGGATCAAAACGATCTTCGACTATCCGATCAAACACCTCCTCCAACCCAATAAAGTTCGAGATCCCAGGGCACGCGGTGATTGAAAGGAGAAACACAGTAGCTTGTGGATTCTTCGAAACCACCCAGCAAGTGATCGAACCAACCGAAAAACCAATATCTCCCAACTGAGATTGGCCTTCCCGCAGAGACTTTGAATGGGGACACACCCCAGCTGATGGCTGCTTTCAAAGAATCCACCAAGCTAGTGAGTGATTTTCCTTTTAATCACCTGCGTGCCATGAGGTCTCGAACTTCAGTGGGCTGATGGGAGATGTTTGATCGGATGATCACAGATTGTTATCGTGCTTTCAGGCTCTGTAGAAGGCGACTTCGCCGAAACGTCAGCCTAAAGTTCAAGAAGAGGTGAAGAGTTCAAGAAAACAATAAACTCAGTGATACAGTTATGCCGAGATTCCTAGAAAGCCGTGAAAATTATTAAAAGTATTACGGGATGCAACAGAAATCGCTATAGATTGCAACCCCTTTTGAAAGTTTTTTTCGAGGAGAAAAAAAGGAGTGGGAGGAGCAAGCGAGGGGCGAGAGCAAAAGAGGAAAGTAACTCAACCATTTCTTCCACTTTGAACTGAAAATAAGATGTTGCCTTCACAGAGATGGATGCCCTGACCCAGTCAGTTTGGCGGATGAGCACGTGAGTGCAGTGCCTAATCCAACAGTTATGCCAACCCCCACAAATAAAAGAGCAGGTGAGAGGGAGCGCTCAAAATGTTGCACTCTCGACATTGGTGGGTCTCTTCTGCTCACGGATAATCATGTCTAAGCTGAACCTCTTTGGGACTAATTTCAGCTGGACTTATTTCAGCTTTTGGGAAGTTCGCGCTTGCACTCGGATATAAAAATACCTCTAGTTTGTCATTTGGCAAAATTAATTGAACGCACTTTCATCCTTTTCTAATAAGAATGGCTTCCAGGGAAGCTCCGAGAGATGATAAACATTAGTCTCTAAACAGAAACAACTCGGTTCTTGTGATATAATTTCCACTCTGACTCCCACGTCTTTTTAAGGACGCAATTTGT